GCTCCCCGTCCCTCGCCCCTTTGCCCGTAGGCGGCTCCGGGCAGGCCCAGGGGCGTTCAGAAGCATCGGTCCGTGCTCGCACCCGTCTCTGTTCAGCTCCGCACAATACAACGGGCAACGGAAAAGGCAGCAGCGCTCCACGTCCACGGGCGGCAGTTCCAAAAGCAGGCGCCCGCGCGCTTCGTGGATCTGCCAGAGTCATCTTTTTCGGAACAGGCTCGTCGCTGCCCTTGCCCATTGCGGCCCCGTTGCCGATAACCCCGTGACTGACCCCATCCTTGCTGCCACTCGGCTGAAATGACCAAACACACCCAATGCCATACTTTGCCGCCTGCCTGAACGCAGCTGACATCTAATGTGAGGTTAAGGCCCACGGAAGCTAATGACCCAACTCACACTTCATTCCAGGCAAAGGATGGGAAACATCCACAAGTTTCCAAGCGCGTGAAACACGGCTTTCCTCCCAGCCAGGTTTCTACACGGACTGGCATTTCATCATAGGTACAGCTAGGAAAAAAACCCAAACACGGCCTTTTCTTACAAGGAGCAGGATTTTAAGAATACCGATACCTGCAGTTTATTGTAAACATTCATCAACAATCCTAGGCATGCAACAGACAAGCAACATTCAAAATTTTGCAAAGTTTGGCCTTATACCAGCTGCTTCAACTTCCACAGCAGAGCATTACAACAGATGAAGCCCACACCTACTCAGCCATGTACATTTCAAAAGCTATTTTTAACAGAGAAAAACGAGCAAAATGATCTCAACTGTATGTCAATTTCAATGTACAACAGCTTTAGGAAAAAAATTAATACTAAAATAATGACCTTCTGAAAATTTTGGAATATATCAAGTACCGTGATGCAGAAAACCAGGTGTGGCTTTTGGACTATTACTCGTAGTAACAAGCCATTACCAAAGCCAGTACAATAAATGTTTCAGTTTCACATTTCGCTGAAACCCAAGTGTCTCTCTGAACATCCCAGACACATCTGCTGGCAACCTAAAGGAAAGAAAAGAAAAAGCTGTTCATGAATCTATATACAGCACAGTTTTTATATTTTTTTTAAAGGAACACACAGCATTACATAAATGCTGATATAATTGCATTATGAGAGTTACAAATAGTAACAACAACTGCAAAATGACGGTGAAAATGAACAAGTCCTGTTCGATGTCAGAATACACATTAGTGCTTCACAGTAAAGCTTCCACCCCGAGAGATCCACAAATCTCTACACCAAAAACTCAGTTCCCTCTCATGTTTGCTTGCTAGCACTTTAGCGTACTATAACAGCACCCCTTCAAAAGCAAGGTGAACAGACATTAGTTTTGGGAACATACACAACTGAGAAGTCATGTCTCCCACTCCTCCACTTCCAGCTTACTCCAGTCTACTTGTGACCATTTACTGGGCGCTAAGCTTTTTTGATAAAACTGTTTTCAGAGCTAAAACGTGTGAACTGACTGCTGGAATAAATGTATTCCTCAGGAGAAAAAAGTTAACTGGGACCATTTCAGTAATTGGTTTTAACCTACAGCTCTTCAGTCAAAGTACAACTTCAGAGGCAGTGTACTATGAGACAGCACCAGAAAAGAAGGTAGACACAGGCCCCTCACAGACTGGCCTCATTACTGAAGCTGATCACCCTTCAGACATTTTTTCACGTAACCCACTAAAACCAGGAATGGTTTCAACAGGTTTTAAGAGCTGATGATGAACACTCCTAAACAGAAGTGCTCTCTGACATTCAGCAAGATACCCAAAAGCATTCTGAATGCCAACTGGAGCTTGCAATACATGTAAATTTATACACAACGCAGGAAAGTCTAGAATACTTTTCTTTTGGGTGCGCCAAGTTCAGATCAGTAATGTTAATTTGTAGTCCCAGGAGCATGTTTGGTGGCAGCTACAGTTGAAAGTTTCCATCCCCTTCCTTGCCCCTGCTCCTTTCCGTGTCACCCCACACTACAACTGCATGGCATTTTGCGCTGAATACGATGACCCCGCTGGAGATCAAAGTACACTGGAAAAAGAAAATTCACTGCAGTCATGCAATCGTACTGGCACAGCACACAGCGGAAATAACCGGTTGACAGGGAAAAGCAGCAAGGGCTGCTTAACACTGTTACCGAACGCAAAAAGATGACAGCCTTCACAGGGTGAGGCAGAATAACAGCAGCACCTTAAATCGTCACCTGGCATACTACTCTCCATAAAGAACCTAAAGGCTTCAAGACCACCTCAAATTAGTTAAGCTGCTGAATGCACTTGAACACCTTGGAGATAACACACAGTTATGAAAGTTATTTTCAATTTGCAAAAAATATAATTAATAATTTGTTTGCTTACATTTATTGCCTGACCTGCCTTCTCCACGATTAGTACTGATACCACGTACTTGTAACGGTCAAAGTCCAATTCCTTCACAGCCTTTAATATTTCTTCTGAGATTGAAGCACACAAGGAGGGACTAGAAACTCCATCGTATTTGGCTTGTTGAAGTTTATTCTATCAATCAAAAACAATTTTGAAAGATCTTAGTTTTCACCCTGGTAGTCTTTCGCAAAAAAACTTTTACAGTAATTTTCATTAGGAGAACATTAGAAGAACTACTGAGTAAAACAGTCAATATAGATGATGCCCTTACACAGCAAAGGCTGCACTATTTTTACTCTAAAATGTTTTATCTATTTTTTGAAAGTGACAAACACGT